ATCAATGCGATCAGTGTTTTATTGGGCGTTAATAATGCAGTCATTTATTATAAACGTGTTTTAATTTGATTACAAATTTTAATCATATTTTTTACAGCAAAAAATACAAGTCTATTAACTTAATAATTAATTTTTGTGGTGAGAAACCATACAATGACTGCCGTTTCAATGATTTTGTTATTTAAAATCAAACTTTTTTCATAATTAAAATTAAAAATTGTCAATTAATTGGCCACAAATGTGTTAATAGTTTCAATGCCATACTTCACACATACACCAGGGCTGCAAACTATTATCAACTAACTTATTATAGATGACCTATCGTCACCATACACTCACAATATACACCCTATTATTACTCCCTATTAATGTATAAATTAGTATATTTCCATTCACTTTGCATATATTATATACTCAATAACTATTATAATTACTGTGTATCTATACAAAGTGATAACAATTTGTACATTAGCTCAGCCTTCGAGTATATAAGACCTCAACACACAATGCGTTCACTAATTAGTGTTTTCGAGCGATTCTCGCAAAACTAGATAAAGAGTTTTCATTGAGTGATATTAAAAATCCGATTGATTTCGTCGACTGTTCTGCCGCTGAAAACAAGACTCCATTGGATTCAGTGATCAATTGTGGATCAAAAGCGTCGCTTAAGAACTGGATTTCGCACTCAAGCCATATATTAATCCATTTAAATGTACAGTATTTTTGTCTCAATTAATATATTGTTAAAAATTGATATTTTAGTGCAGCGGCGGTGACTCTGAAGGGCCCACACATACAACACACCGATATGGAGGCGACATCGTTGACATCAAACGCGGTAACGTTGGCCAAATACCTGGCGCTCACTCAGCCCAACAATAAGGTACAAGTGATGTACGTCTGGATCATCGACGGAACCAATCAACACATGGGGTCGCAGACAAAGATCGTGCCATTCGTACCGACAGACGCCTCAGAGCTTCCCCTCTGGACCCCCGCCGGCGCGTCGACCGGACACGAGGAGGGCATATATCTCCTGCCCGTTCAGCTCTACGACGACCCCTTCCGCGGCGGTAACAACAAGTTGGTTATGTGCGAGACTGTCCGCTACGACAGGCAGCCGACCGAAGACAACCACAGACACAGTTGCAAAGTGGCCATGGATTTAGTCCGGGATCAACAGCCGTGGTTCGGCGTCCAACAGGAGTACACACCAGCGGACGGCCGACACTACGAATACACGGAGTTTGGTGCGCACGTCGTTGACGCTCACCTCAAGGCCTGTCTGTACGCCGGGATTGCGATCGCCGGCGAAAAGACCGATAACGACTCGAAGTGGGAATTCCAGGTTTGCCATCAATTTCTTTACATTTCATTCCCTATTATTGGCACAGATTTTGTTATCACCAGGGCATTGCTAAATATGCAAAATAAACTCATTAAATATGTTATATAATATGTAATAAAACAGGGTCTAAATAATACATACTAAAATATGCATTAATTTTCATAGATTTATTGATAAATATTACAATTTTGCAATTAATATATTAATTATAAGGTTTCTCGGTAAAATTATGAATACTTAAATATAATTTGAGGACTTTTTTTGCATATATTTAGTTAAAACATGCTCAATTTTAATCATTGTTTCAAAGGCGCACATATTTGAGCAAATTTTATTTCACTAGTTTAGGACAAATAAATATTTTCAATATATTTTATGTGACTTAATTCACATTTAAATGTTTTTAATTAGTTTCAATGCCCTGATTATAAGCAAATAAACTAATTTAGCCATTGCTTACCCCCCTAAAAGGTGGGTCCGTGCGAAGGGGTGACCATCGGTGATGACATATGGATGGCACGATTCCTGATGCAAAGGGTGGCCAAAGACTTTGGCGTCGATGTATCGTTTAGCCCCTACGACGACCGTACGGGCGTATTGTGCCGCAGAGCTCACTGCAACTTCAGCACTGAAGCCATGCGAGAACCGGGAGGTATGGCTGCCATCGACAGAGCCGCCGAGTGTTTGAGCCGTAAACACGACAAACATATCGCGACAGACGACCCGAGAGGCGACGGTTCCCCCACACATACAACACACCGATATGGAGGCGACATCGTTGACATCAAACGCGGTAACGTTGGCCAAATACCTGGCGCTCACTCAGCCCA